TAAATATTTAGAAAACATTTACATGTATTTACATGTCTATATTTATATTCATAAATTATATTATCAATAAATATATTTAATATATAAACATAACTTTTTTAAAAAATATATACATGCATGTGTGTGTATTTCCATATACATAATAAATATACACGGTACACAAACATATATTCTGTAAACAAAAACTTTTATTTTGGTTGTGACTAATCTCGATTAATCGTTTGACAGCATTACTATTTATTTAATATTTCTTTAAAAATCTGCACTGTAGAAAGTTTAAGTTTGAATAGTTTGCAAGAGCACAAGCAAAAACACAATAAGGTTGTAAAAGGGACTAGTGAGTGGGCGAATTTTTCTGTTCGTTGTGATGACGTTTAATTACTCCGACCATCTCTGAAGTCCCACTATTTCAGAACGTCTAAAAAGCTTTAAAAAATAACAAATAGGGTATCAATTATGTATTTTATGTCATAGGATAAATTGTGAAAATATTTTGAGCTTGTTTTCACCTCTGAATTCAGGATGGTAGAAACAAAAGTTCAAAAATGTTAACTTGTTTCCAGGTTGTTAGACTCATTCCTGCAGGTGCTCACGTATGCAGTTTGTGTCATTTCCTGATCCCATTCTCCCTATCACTTCCTGTCCTCTCTTTACTAAATAAAATGTCAAAAAGTGACTTCATGTGCATTTTCTAGTCAAATAATGGCTTTACCAACCTCAGCTTGATGCTCTTCTTTCTCACCTTCCCAGAAACCACAGAGAGAGGAGACCTTGCATCACAAATGATGCTCTACCCTTTGTTGTCAAGTCAAAGCATTCTTATTTTTTAGGAGACCTTAAAGGGCAACTAATCCCAAGTCAGGTGATTCCTCCCAAGACCGCATGGCAAACCCTCGAAATGTGCCACGGAAGTTGGGACCTGGGCCAAAAGACACCACCCGGATCAGAAACTGTGTCAGAAACCCACCGCTGCGCCATCTGCGTCAAGAGAACAACCACTTGTGCAGAAGGGGCTTTCCTGAGCACTTTTCTTTCCCTTGAAAGTAGACGATCAAACAGTAAAGGTTTTCCTCTTTGGTCTTGAAGCAATTTAGGTGTATATATTTGTTTTAAGCGCAGTAAGAGCAGAAATTTAAGACAAAGTGTTGCAGGGATTAGAACATTTTGTAGACCAAGTCAACAATTAGAATCACTCTGGTTCCTCAACAATTATCTGTTGGATTGTTGCAGAAAATAAGCTCTGTGGCCCACAAATGTTCATGATTATCACATATCCTGTTCATCAAGATAATCTTCATGAATAAATTATGAATTTCGAAGCTTAAATACAATCACCAGAAGTAAAAAGCTGACTACAAATGAACCATAGGCCTCATGACCTCAATGTCACCACCACTAAGCTACTACTTATAACTATTTTTAGTGCTGTCAAATGATTAATTGCGATTAATCGCATACAAAATAAACGTTTTTGTTTGCATAGTATATGTGTGTGTTCTGTGTATATTTATTATGTATATATAAATATTTAGAAAACATTTACATGTATTTACATGTCTATATTTATATTCATAAATTATATTATCAATAAATATATTTAATATATAAACATAACTTTTTTTAAAAATATATACATGCATGTGTGTGTATTTCCATATACATAATAAATATACACGGTACACAAACATATATTCTGTAAACAAAAACTTTTATTTTGGTTGTGACTAATCTCGATTAATCGTTTGACAGCATTACTATTTATTTAATATTTCTTTAAAAATCTGCACTGTAGAAAGTTTAAGTTTGAATAGTTTGCAAGAGCACAAGCAAAAACACAATAAGGTTGTAAAAGGGACTAGTGAGTGGGCGAATTTTTCTGTTCGTTGTGATGACGTTTAATTACTCCGACCATCTCTGAAGTCCCACTATTTCAGAACGTCTAAAAAGCTTTAAAAAATAACAAATAGGGTATCAATTATGTATTTTATGTCATAGGATAAATTGTGAAAATATTTTGAGCTTGTTTTCACCTCTGAATTCAGGATGGTAGAAACAAAAGTTCAAAAATGTTAACTTGTTTCCAGGTTGTTAGACTCATTCCTGCAGGTGCTCACGTATGCAGTTTGTGTCATTTCCTGATCCCATTCTCCCTATCACTTCCTGTCCTCTCTTTACTAAATAAAATGTCAAAAAGTGACTTCATGTGCATTTTCTAGTCAAATAATGGCTTTACCAACCTCAGCTTGATGCTCTTCTTTCTCACCTTCCCAGAAACCACAGAGAGAGGAGACCTTGCATCACAAATGATGCTCTACCCTTTGTTGTCAAGTCAAAGCATTCTTATTTTTTAGGAGACCTTAAAGGGCAACTAATCCCAAGTCAGGTGATTCCTCCCAAGACCGCATGGCAAACCCTCGAAATGTGCCACGGAAGTTGGGACCTGGGCCAAAAGACACCACCCGGATCAGAAACTGTGTCAGAAACCCACCGCTGCGCCATCTGCGTCAAGAGAACAACCACTTGTGCAGAAGGGGCTTTCCTGAGCACTTTTCTTTCCCTAAAATTACTCAAAAGTCACATAAAACGCTATTAAAGTTCCACGCCATTGCATTAAGCAAAGCATATGATGACCTATAAAAAGACAATAAAGATGAAAACAGGATGTTTAAATGAACAACATAAGTGCCCTCATTTTGAAAGGCATTGTTTTTAAATATCACATTTAGCAACAGACTTGCATTCACCCAGTGATTTGCTATAGTTGTTAAAAGAGTTTTTCTGATATGAGATAGTTTTTCAAAGAAACATGAATACAAAGGTGTACACATATAGCAATCATGAGGGGAACCCCTGCTTCTCTGATCAACCAACTGAAGCGAGCCGTGTGTGCTGTCACAGCTTTTCTCAAGGATTAACACATTCCGAGCCATTTTCAGAACATCTTAAGACTCCAGTCTGAAGGCAAACAGAAGCTCTGGCGTCCCTGACAGACTGAAGGTCACAAAGTTATGATTGCATAAGTCAAAGTAGAAGGTTTGGGGTCATTTAAGGGGATTTACTGCGAGGAATCTGGTGGAAAATTTCTTAAGTACTTCACTTTCCACAAAGGTAAAGCTTAAAGTAGGCCACATTCCCCACAGCAAGCTAAACTTCTAGGGTCAAGTCGGTTCATTTCTGCCCCAGGGTTTGTGGGCTCGAATAAACATAAAAAGATCTAAAAACGTTTCTGAGGAGAAGTCATGCCCCATCATGGCATGGTTTAGTCCTCATAAATACATCATTCTTTGGAAATCTGATATAAAACAGCTTCTCTGAAGCCATGCTGTGTAGAGGGGGAAAGAAACCCACACACGAACGCCTTATCGATGTGCTGTTTGATCGTAACTCTTTGGTTCCCTCTCTGTGTGTACAAGCTGACACTCAGTGTCAAGTTATCACAGCCTTATCAACTGTCAGAGTTCACAAAAAAGCAGTAAACAAACACATCCACTGATCCAAAACTGTGCCATGCTATTGGCTAGTTCCCTCTCATCAAGTGACTTTGACCCTAGGGCTTAAATGACCTCAGGGTGAACTCAGTTTCTTGAAAGGCGACAGCTGTCTAGTTTTAGGCTACATCCACACGAAGCCAGAGCTTTCCCTATCCGATCTTTTTTTCCCCCTGGTCTCAAGAAATATCTGCGTCCACACGAAACCACAAAACCGACACAAAACGATGTAGTATACATGCCAGACCAGTATGTGGCGCTGTAATTATGCCACAGAGATACACTAAAAACGGAGAAGACGACTTGGACTATGCACATAAACCTTGCGCGTGGTATACAAACGAACATGGAACAATACATTTATTAATCTGTGTTAATGTTAGTTAATAAAAAGACAACCGTTCAGTGTTTGTTCAAGTTTTTGTTGCTGTTACGTGACGTAGCGGTGTCTGACTAGGGGCGAGACGTGGGCTGATGACGTCATCGTTTCAGAAAATATACGGATTCGCTGTCCACACGAAAACGCAAGGGTGGCGTTTTCAGATTTATCCACTCTCGGACCCGGTTTAAAAAAATATCGATTTCACTCTCCCAAAACGCCGGATCCGTCTGGACGAAACGCCAATACGATACAAAATGTATGCGTATACAGCTAAACGCGTCTCCGTGTGGAAGGGGCCTTAATTTACAACGAGGCACTTACAATGGTAGCGAATGGAGTTCTTTTTCTAAGGATTTAAAACCAACAATGTGAATTTTATAAAAGCACTTACTCTACTGTTCAAAAGTTTGGATTTTTTAAATGTTTTTGAAAGAAGTTTCTTATGCTCACCAAGGCATTTTTATTTTTTTTTGGAAACAACACTACGTTTGTTATTGTTTTGTTTTTATTCCTTGCTGAATACAAAGTTCAGCATGATAAAGTCTTTACTGTCACTTGATCAATTTAATGCTTCCTTGCTGAATAAAAGTATTCATCCCTTTCAAAAATTGGTCATTTTAATATTTAGGTATAACATTGTCATGGCAACAAAATGGTAAAATTTTAAATATCTTGTTCAAAATATATTGTTCATGTTTTGTGTTTTTAATTTACTTTTTTTTTTGGGATTATGGATTCACTTTAATTGTAACTGTAATCTTGTTGCCTTTTTTCAACAAAAGGAGGGACCAGTCGTAATTAATTTTTGCAGTAATCAAAACTATGCCACAAATGCTGTCAAATGAGTTTAACTAGTAATGAACCCAGAATATTCCTTTAAACTGAATGAAGGGTTAGCCATGGATGATGCTACACATTCCAGTGTGTGATTTATGCATGGTAATTTGTTGCGCATCCCGTTTCAACTTTTCTTCAAAATGGCACAAGAGGTACAAAAAATGTTCAAATGAAATTCTTTGAGATACCATATCCACCCAAGATGTTACATTTAGTTTAAAATGAAAAAAAACTTGGCTGTTGTGGCTGAAAACATGATAATTTTATCTTAGCAAACCTATCAAGTACATTACCCGGATCATTTCGGCCACATAGCTCTCTGGCCCTGTGAACTCCGTGGAGTCTTTCACTTTCACCAGCACGATGAAGAAGAGATAATGCCACATGTTGTGCTCCACCTTAATGTGCTCCTCAAACGTCACTGTTTTGTTGTCAAACTTGTCCCTCTCCAAACCTGTAGAACAGAAACACAGTTACAACGAAATGAGTTTGAATCAGTTGTTGTAAATGGGCCTTGCCACATAAACCTTGTTTTTAAGGGTTAAGGTCAGTTAAGAAGATCAAGATTGAGTGTAATCTTGAAGTGACAAAGCAGCCCAATGGTCAGTTGTCCAAAAAGAGGATTTGTTTAGGTCAGAAACTTATTTAGCTCTATGCAGTTTATTCAGTGAGAGGGAAAACAATCTTTTAAGACTTTGACATGATGCATAACCAAACTCCTTTTTCTTAAAAATGGTTTTGTTTCAAAGAAAACTGTACTATCTCGAAAGAGGAAGTAGAACCACAGGGAAACTGTTTGTATACAACCATGAATGGTGCGTGTTATGAGCAAACGGAGGTTATGAATCTTGTGATAGTCACAAACAAATACCCTAATTTCGATGCTAAAGTGAACACATTGGGAAATTGTCACTTGATTACAACGCGTCACCTGCTCTCCAATCGCACGTTTGGACTGTTCATCTCAGATTACATTCTGTTGCGTGTTCAAATGTTAGTCATGGATTGTGAAATCATCAACTGAATCCCAACAAACTGCAGTTTCAATATTAAAGCATATCAAAAGACATGAGTCAAAAACAGTATTTATATAGAAGCAAGTGTGTACACTGTGAGATTTATGATCATTTACAGCTGATCTCACACTGACATGGTCAAACACGCCAAGTGGCGACAGGAAGACACTCCACCACCTCCACAGTGAGTTATGACTAAGACTTCTGGTGAAGAGGGGGCGTCCTAATGTTTATGCTGGAGCAAAACAGTTTTGTGGGCCTATGAAATTTATGGGACATAGGTACATGAAATGAATACGCCTGTGACTGAAGATAACTCTGCATACTTTTATCCAGGATGGATGGGAAGATAGACGTAACTTTATTTAAAAAAAAAGAAAAGAGATATATGGATATGTGATTTATGTGATGTATTGCTTACAGTACATTTCAAAGCCAAAACTGAAATATAAACAATAATGTCCAAAGACAAGAAAAGTCCAAAAATCATTTAAACAACAATTAAGCTATTATTTTCGATCTGCAATGAAGCATTAAGCTTGATTTGTCTGTCTGGTGGTAACGTTTTCAGTTTGAGTATGAGGTTTCAGGTTCCATAATAAAATGGTTTATTTTAATAAACAAAAATTGCAGCTGTATTTCAGGAGATGTGGAGCAAGATCACTTTCGTTTGCATTTTGTTTTGTGATTTGACTGGAATGGAAAGCCACTGGAATGCCGTTGAGGGCATGTACAGTAGACACTCACCACAAATAAAGCAAGTCGTTTTCAGAACCTCCTCTTTCTTCTGCTTTTCACTTCTGAGGTCAGCAAAGGTGTCAATGATGACTCCAAAAATGAGGTTGAGGACAATGATGATCACCATGAAGAAGAAGAGGAGGTCGTAGATCACACGGGCTGCAAATAGAGGCTCCTATGGAGAAAAGAGATGCAGTAGATTATAATATCAGTGCGGTTTCCAATTCAATTTCCCAATCAACATCCAATAACAGACCAGTGGTCCTCAAGCTTTCTGAGTGAAGACTCAATAACCCAGTTTTCTACCTAAATCTGCCCAATTACCCTTATCTCTGAGCAACCAAACAGACTGTTTGAGAACTTCAATTTTTAAGGCCCGATTAACCAAAACTTAAGTACTATAAGAGTGAAAAAAGTGTTTGAGTGACTATTCAAAATGCACCAATCAGTGAGCATAACAGCATTTGTAAGGACAATTATTTAATTATTGCAAGGACAAGTTGTAATTATTCAACAGTGTTATTTTAGTATCAGTGAGATACCAATTTGAATTAGCATTTATTTTTATATTTTCCATTTACATTTTAATTTTGTAGTAATGCTTATTTTATTTCAAGTAACAAAAACGTTTTTTTTTTTAGAGCTGTCAAACGATTAATCGCATCCAAAATAAAAGTTTTTGTGTACATACTATATGTATGTGTACTGTCTTTATTTATTATGTATATATAAATACATACACATACAGTATATATTTTGAAAATATTTACATGTATCTACATGTATATATTTATATTCATATAATTTATATTATATATAAATATTTTAATATATAAAGTACACACTCATATATTATGTAAACAAAAACCTTTATTTTGGACGCGATTAATTGCGATTAATCATTTGACAGCACTAGTTTTTTTTAAATAATAATAATAATATAATAACCCTTTCCAGCACAAGTGGAATTGGAAAAATAGTGATTGTTTCCAAACAGGTTTTCTGAACACCCATCTGCCATAGGCCGAATAAAAAAAGTCAAAGCCCCAAATTCATATTGAGGCCCTTGTGCGGTACCTCTTTAGAAGGTTTCCGCAAAACATCTCCGACCCCACCGCCGCTCCTCAGACCGTGGCTCAAGACAGTGACGATACACATGAGCAGCGAGTCGCACGTCCTCTCCTTATCCTCAATCACGACAGCGGTCGACTGTACTCCTACAGCTGCAGGAAACAACACGTCAATAATCGCTAAACAAATAATGTATTACCGTGGAATGTTCTACAGAAAGTGCTCAGACTAAAAGGTTGCATACATGCAAATCTTAAAGCAGAAATAGAATTTGTGGTGAAATGCTTTCCTAAAATAAGATCCAAAGTTATCAGATCATAACACAAAAAAACAAACAAAAGCTCATTCACAAACGTCAAAGATCATTTGCAAACAAATACCGAACTATTTATACAACTAAATTTGTATATTTTATATAAAGAAAACGTCAGCGGTGTTAGCTATGATTGCGAAGGTGTTTCTAAAGATATCTATTTTATAAATAAACGCTGTTTTTTAAACTTTCTATTTATCAACGAATACTAAAAAACTAATGACAGTTTCCACATAAATATTAATTACATTTTTTCAACATTCTGAAGAATCGCTAAAGACTGGTGAAATTTCAGCTTTGCCATCATCTTGTGCTTGTTAACCCTAAGTAACCCTGTTTATGAGAAAGAACAATGCTAGTCTCAAACTGGCCTAAGCGAGGTCTTTCAATGTTAACTGATGTGCTAAACAAGGTAAGACACATTCACAGGGGCAGACATGCCATACGCCGCAGGTTCAGTGGGTTCAGACTGGCCGATCAGCTCCAGTGATCAAATTAGTCTGGCCTTACATCTTAAATTTGCACATTCTCAAAGACCCGCTTGCAAATCCGAATTAGACTGGTCTGGACTTTAACCCCGAACCAGCATGAACCTGCTGAACATTTAGTGCCTGACTGTCATTAACCTCCGACCCCAAACATCACCCACATAACCTACCAGGGATTCTTGAGAACACTGAGTCTCTCCTTTCCTCGTCTCATGACCAGGCCATACTACTCAGATTTAACTAGAAGTATGTGAGTGTTAAGGAGAGAGTTGTGAGTGATGGGGTCCATACCATCCATCATGGTCTCCGTGGAACAGTTCTCCTCTTTCCGACACACCGCGCCTGCCAGGAACTCTCCCATCTTACTGGCGGATTGCTCTGAACATAGGGGAAAACTGCAGATTAGGAGCTATAAATTGTTACTTTTAAATCAATATTTATTAATTATTAAAGTATAGCTATTATATTATTATAATATGAAGTGAAGTGAAGTGACATGTGGCCAAGTATGGTTACCCATACTAGGAATTAGTGCTCTGCGTTTAACCCATCCAAAGTGCACACACACAGCAGTGAACACACACACAAACACACACATATTCATTAAAAATATATGATTCAATATCATTTTAAGTTTGGGGTAAGTAGGATTTTTCTAATGTTCTTGAAAGAAGTCTCTTATGCTCACCAAAGTTGCATTTATTTGATCAAAAACTACAGTAAAAAACTGTAATATTGTGAAATGTTATTACGCTTTAAAATAAATTTAAAATAATTATTTTATCAATTTTAATTTTGAATTTATTTTAAACTGTAATTTATTCCTGTTATGCAAAGAAGAATTTTCAGCATCATTACTCCAGTCTTCAGTGTCACATGATCCTTCAGAAATCATTCTAATATGCTGATTTGCTGCTCAAGAAACATTTCTTATTATTTTCAATGTTGAAAACAGTTGTGCTGCTTAATAATTTATGGAAACTGCTATACATTTTTTCAGGATTCTTTGAATAGAATCTTTTTTGCAACATTATGAATGTCTTTACTGTCACTTTTGCTCAATTTAATGCATCCTTGCGCACTAAAAAAATTCATTTCTTTCAAAAATAAATACCCCAAACTTTAAACTGTAGTATACAAAATTTTTTTCACATTAAAATAAGGAGAATTAGATTTTTTGCATAACACTAATGGGATTCAAGAGTAAAATGACAATTGTCATAAAAATAGTGCCAGAATGCAAAAAAAACCTGTACTGGTTATAAAAATAAGCTTCATTTTGTATAAGCATAACATAATTTCTTATATCTTTCTTTTGATTTTAGGGTGACCTGTAAGTGTTCTTGTGAAGTAACCAGCTAGATGTTTGAAATCTGACCTGTTGCATGAAACAACAAGAGATTTCTCATGTACCATGTGGACGTGTTTTCAAAGTGTAATTTTCAGACTTTGAGCAACATCAGATAGAAATCCATCGGTTTTTCTCACCAAGAGTTTTATTGGATATCCTGTCCACGGTCAGGATGAAGTCATCCTTGAAGATGATGTATCCAACAATGGAGAAGAGGTAGACCAGGATGAGAGCCAGCACGGCGGTCAAAACGATCGAGCGGCCATTCCTGGTTACGCTCTTGATGACGTTTAACAGCGTCTCCTCTCGGTAGATCAGGTCAAAGAGCTGGAGAGAGAGAGTAAGATGAGAGAGTGTGTGTGTGCGTGCGTGTATACAGTATACAAGACGGTGAAAGTGTGAGAGGTGAGAGGTCAGAGTTAGAAGAGACGTCGCTGTGTGAAAGATAGGTTTGTCTAGTGGAGTGACTGAAAGTGTATGAGTGTATTACTCACAAGCAAGCTGTAGAAGAAGACATGAACAAAGACTCCAAGGCTGCATATAATGAGGTAAAGCAGATGATACAGGAACTCCACATCCATGATCATGGCCTTGTATCCTCTCGTGAACGTACCGCGATTTCCCACGAAACTCATTAGAAAAATCACTTTATTGCACACCTGAAAACACAACCATAGCGTTAAGAGATTTTACTGGAGTTACAAACACAATTTTTGCTCATATATAATGAGTTGATGTAACCTTTAGCAATAAGAACATTTATCTGTAGTGTATCATTACGGATACACCAACAATTGAAGCAAAACCACAAATTACGGGCTAAAGTACTTGCATCAGTTTTCAATCTCCGCATTATGAAACATTTCCATAAAGTTATTTTGAAATCATATTTAATCATAAAACCACTAAATTATCAAAGCATTCAGCTAATGATTTGGAACAATGCAAACAAGCTCCAACTGTTATCTCTGTTCAAGAACAAACAATCGTTAGTAGCTCATGCTGTTTTTTGTAGGAAATAATTACACTACCATTTACATGTTCAGAGTAAGATTTTTTTTTTCCTTTTTTTGCAAGAAACTTATACATTTAGTCAGCAAGGATGCATTAAATTGATCAAAAGTGATTCATCAAAGAATCCTTAAGAAAATAATGTATTACTGTGACACTGAAGACTAATTGCCGATGAAAATTCAGCTTTGCATCACAGGAATAAATTTGATTTAAAAAATATATTAAAATAGAAAATGGTTCTTTTAAACTGCAATAATATTTTAAAATGTACTCTATATTTGGTTAAATAAATGCAGTCTTGGTAAGCATAACCAAGTAAAATACTTGTTTTAGTATTGTGCATCTTGCATGTACAAAAAGATTAGTTTGCCCAACTAAAGATTTGTCATTATTTATTCAACCTCATATTGTTCCAAAACCACAGTATTTCCTGCTACAAACAAGAGATGTTTTGAATACATGCATGTGAGAAAAGAGCAGCATGAACATTCTTCAAAACCTCTCTTCTGTGTTTCAAGTCATACATGTTTAAAACGACATGAGGGTGAGCAAATGATGACAATTACACTTTTTAGGGAAACTTTTCCTGTAAGTTTAAGATGATTTGGAACCGATATTTGGTTTGGATGCATACTAAGTGTGCATACTATTAGGGGAAAGTGGAGTTATTGTGTGAGCCAAGTCCATTTTAACATCGGCCTGTAAAAGCCGTGTGAAATCCCCCAGTGACGCACGACACACCTCAGTGCAAAACACACCGAGCTGCCCTCTAACAACACTGGCGGCCCGACGAGCTTTGGCAGAAGACTGTCGTTCACTCACATTGAAGGCCCCGAGAAGAAACAGTGTGGGCTCCAGGCCGACCGAAAATATGAGGCGTAATATGGTGGAAGCGATGAGCGCCCGAATCCCATGAGGCTGGGGTAGCACTATAACTATGGCCAGTGAAACCAACATTGCCGCCCAAAGCAGTGCAGAGAGGTGTGGCTCCAGGGTGCCTGAGGAAAAATAGGTAAACACGTTTTAGTGCCATCAATCATGCTCTGGGATAAAAATACCACAGAAGTGACATGTTATCATGCCATCTGTCACGGTTACAGCGTCAGCGATGCTACAGGCCTTGTGTTCAACTATCTCAGGGACACAACTTAGATTCTGATTAAAAAACCACACTGTGTTTCTGCAAGTTGTGTAATTTTTAGGTTGTTTCAACATGTACGACCGTCTTGATCTGATTATGGAAATATGAAAATGATAATTCTGTCATCACTTGCCCTCATTATTCTTTCTTCTGTGGAATACAAAAGAAGAAGTGAATGAGGACTTATAAAATACCTTATAATTAACATTTCATACAATTTTGGCTTCAGAAGACTTGTTCAACTTTCAGTGCATCTGGAAAACGGGAGTCAAGACATTCAGCTAAATTTCTCCTTTTGTGCTTCACAGAAGAAAGTAGGTCATATGGGTTTGGAACAAAAAGAATTTCATTTTGAGCTGAACTAGTAAAATTCTGAATAAACATTTTAATTTTGACGAATAACAGAAGTACAGATGCTAAGCTAAGATTATATTCATTGTCATTACCCATGACTGCACTGTGTATCTGAAACTGCGTTTCTGTACAGCAGGTCTAAATGGGATTCCCTAAAGTACTTGCAGTTTCACCTGTTGAACATGTTTGGGCACATTCTAGCCCTCAAGGGAAAGATGCTTTGAAAAACAAAAATAGAAAAAAGTTACATAACACATTTGAATATGTTAAGGTTCGATGAAGCTTTGTCATGAGCCGCTCTAGCATTGTTTTTAATCCTTGTTCTAAGTGAATGGCAATGAAAGGTACAGTACAGCAAGGTCTTATATTAGTGGGATTGCTAAGCGGGGGTGGTGTGTGTGTGTGTGTGTGTATACGCAGAGAAGAAAAATGAGGCCAGTCGGATTTGCAGGATCTTCACAGAGGCAATAGTTCCAGCTCGCTTGCTCACTCTCCCGCCTGCGAGTAGACCACATGACAGGTGCTTGTTACATAACACGGCGTGCTAAAAATATCATGGCTGAAAGATGCATGAGTGTCGGGTACCGAGCCGAGCTGGGGTTTGGACCGACAGGGCTGGTGGGCGGCCAGGAAACTTGCGGGGGTGGTGTGTGTGTGTGTGTGTATACGCAGAGAAGAAAAATGAGGCCAGTCGGATTTGCAGGATCTTCACAGAGGCAATAGTTCCAGCTCGCTTGCTCACTCTCCCGCCTGCGAGTAGACCACATGACAGGTGCTTGTTACATAACACGGCGTGCTAAAAATATCATGGCTGAAAGATGCATGAGTGTCGGGTACCGAGCCGAGCTGGGGTTTGGACCGACAGGGCTGGTGGGCGGCCAGGAAACTTTCAGAATCGAGGACGTCAAAGGCTCTGTTCCATTCATTTCCACAAACTTACACACACACAAACAGACTGCACACTGAAACTCTAGGATTCTAAATCTAATTTAAACCTGGAAATAAAGTTTTAGTAACACAAAGAAACGAGTTAAATATTTCAGATTCTGCACTACGTCTAGGTTACTAATCAAGTAAATTTGTGACACTGATCATGTGATTTTTTTGGAATCTTTTATCAATATATGCTGGCGAACTTGATCATCAGGCTTTGATCATGTCCACTTGAATGCCACTGTCAATCAGACAAAAGTGGGACCAGTGTTGGGGGTAACGCATTACAAGTAGCGCGAGTTATGTAATCAGATTATTTTTTTAAGTAACTAGTAAAGTAACGCATTAGTTTTTAATTTACAAGAAAATATCTGAGTTCCTTTCTCAAAAAAGTAACGCCAGTTACTTTGTTTTCCCATTTATTGACTGACAGCTCTCCTGTCCCCATATTGGGAGAAATCGGGAGTACAGAGGCGTTGTGTGAACATGATGTTACTGTAGTTCTAGACTAAATGTGAATGTGCATTAATTCATCCCACTCGCAAAAACAGATTTAGTATTCATCAAAATGAATTAAAACGAAAAGTGAAATGCAAACTTAGAATATGACGCAAACCTGCAATAATTAAAGTAACTTTCCCAAACACTGAGTGGGACATAGTTCACAAATTTGTTGCACTGAAAATGTTATTTGTAAAGAGATGGTTGTAAAGAAAAATACTGAATTAAATAACATGAAAATGTATATCACTGATATAAAATATTAATCTATACTGTAGAAATGAAAAATAATAATAAATAAACAAACATACACACATAAACAAATAGCGAGTGGTCTCAAAGTTTGGCCACAATTGCAACTGAAATTGAGGTCAGGAAGAATGAAGCTATGCATGAAAGACTGTAATGTCCACTCACTCATACTTTAAAGTAACATCTGTTTCTTAGGCACCATATAAATAAAATTGCAATGTGCATGTGCCTTTCTATAACTGACAAGGAAGTGGCTATACCCAGCCCTTTTACTTTAAAGCCCTAGATCTCCCCACAGCTGTAACATTTATGCTATTTATGCTCAAGTCCCTGTGCATTGAGGTTACGCACACTGACCTACTTCTGGAGCCCTCATTGTGTTTGAATGGCTACATTCTGGCAGACTGGGCAGGAGGGAAAGAACACGCCTCTGCGCTGCTCTTACACACATTCTGGAATTCTGTAGGGCCTCTTGCTTGACCTTTACAAATACTGTTCAGGGACCTACTGAACTCTGCAGAAGGCCTTTTTTAATCTGCTTTAGAGGTACTGACTGTTCTTAAATGTGCTTATAAAAATGTGTCGGAAGACAATCGATTTTGAAGTGCCCACTTTGAAAGTGAAAAATAAGGCGTGAAACAACCAATAAGAACTGACACAATGAAGCAGAATTGTGGGCCGTTAAGAATTCACTGTAAATTCAAGAATTTAAAATTTGTGATTACTTAGACCAGGGGTGTCAAACTCAATTCCTGAAGGGCCGGAGATTCAACCCTAATTAAACAACTGATCCAACTAATCAAGTCCTTCAGGCTTATTTGAAAACTACATGATATGTGTGTTGGAGCAGGGTTGGAACAAAACTCTGCAGGGCTCCGGCCCTCCAGGAATTGAGTTTGACACCCCTGACTTAGACTGTATAAATTGAAATTACGTTCATAATAATGTAATGGTTGCTTTTTGTGCATAAGTGTAAGTTATAATAATAATGATAATAATAATGTATCATTTAAATGCCAGTGGCCCATGCAACAATAAAATCTTTGGAAAAACATTAGACAATCAAACAGCAAGTGTGGTACAGAAGGAAAATTAACTACTGAACTACTTATATTATTCTTTGTTAAATATCAAACAGCCGATTATAAATATTTTGTCAGTTTACCGATTGTTTTACAACCATGTTTATTGCAAAGACAATATTTCAAATCCACCTTTAACATGTCCTTTATCAGCTTTTATTGGTTTGCATTTCAAATCGTGACCTATATTGTATATGTACCAGAGCTGTATTTCAGTGTGTCCAGTGGAGCCTTTTGTTTTTAGAGATTTCAATTAAAGGCCCAAGCACTCATGTGCGCTTTGAGAAAGGGAAAGGTCCAAAACAAAAGAGCCCTTGGAGCCTGACCCCAGCCTGAACAATGCAGGGTTTATGTCAGTCACAATGTGGCACTTATGCCAGTCACAATGACTGGACAATCAATGCTCAACACAACAAAAAAAGAGCTAAATAAACACAGAAAGGCCTAAGAAATATTCCTCGTATGTACTTACAACATCGCTTACATTAGGATGATATTGATCACAAACTTGAACACAAGCAGCAGGTGCTAATTCTGTGATGTAAGAATGAAGTAAATGCCAGTCCTTTGACTTTATATGGGTCTCTGTTTTCAGGGTCAAATCTCAGCTCTGACATAAACAGGGGTGTATTCCAGAAAGCACGGTTAACTTACCATCAGCTAAACCCTGAACTTTCGGTTGATTAACCCCAAACCTTGCTTACTCGATGTATGTGGTTCCAAAAACGCGTCCGGGAGTAAGTTCATTCAACTCCGAGTATGTTCCTGGTTAAGACTCCAGACATTCTCAACAGAGCGACGAATCGACGAGTCACTATGCAAACGGACGCTAAGAAAAAGCGCGCCATGCTGTTTCTTTCTTCTTCTTTTGTTCAATGGTCGTTTACATGCTTAGTGCATATCGCCACCTAATTGATGGTTGTGCAATCATTTTTCTTTTTTTTCCGTTTAATCTTTCATCCTTGAGAATATGAATTATCACTGTTTGATGATAATTATATATTAAGTCATATCAGATATGTATTTTTTATTATAGAAATACATTATAGAAAATGCCGATCCATGTGTGAGATGATAATATAAAATGTAATAAATATATATGAAGAGTTCATTTGCAAAAACAGATAACTTGAAATAGAAATCATGTTTTTTCATTGTGCATTCCAGTTTATCTCAATCAAACTGCAGTTGGGTTATTTTGACTAGGTTAAAAAAAAACAAAAAAAAAACAGCTAACTAACACAATAAAACACAATAAAAACATGATAACATAATAAAAAAACATGATTTTTGACATTTTGAGTTATCTGTTTTTGCAAATAAACTCTTCATATAATATAATAAATTAAACATTACCTTGTCATAATAGTGTTTTATAATTTATACAGATAACTGTTATATATGCCAATAAAATAAATA